AAGGTCACAAAAGATGATCACGTGGCCCTGGGACAGTGCAGCCTTCATAAATATGAGCTAGTTGCCAAGCCGTTGAATTTCAGTCACATGACCGTGGAGATGCTGCAATGGCCTGCTTTTTTCAGTGCCACTGTAACTGTCACTAAACAAAGTTTTGAGGACTACCTGCATATCATCTTTGCATGCAAAAGATCCCCAAATTGATCCCTGCCATCAGCAGGGTGGACTGGAAATCATCCTGTTTATAAAGATCATGTAAATAAGATTATTACATGAAATAGTCTGACTCAGTGGCTGGGTTTGAACATATATTACCAGGCCAAAGACTTAGCCACTTCATCTGCACATGTAGAATTGTTAGTTTTAACCTTGATTACAAACGTTTGAAGCTTAGCACGTTATATGTGAAGCATTGAGCTTAGTCTTGTCAACCCAAAAAGTGGTTTAATTTAAGCAAATTGCATTTCCTCTGTTGACAGGATAAAATAGGTTTTCTATCACCCACCAGAAAAGCAAATCTTTTCCTCCTATCCTTGTCAAAGCCACTGCCTCCTGTGAAAAAAGCATTCCTTAATAGACTCATTCATGTCGCCCTCATTTAATAAGACACCATGTTGTTTTCTTAAGGGAGTCACAAGTACTCTGTGAAATCACTTGCCACTCTTATACCCCAGGAATAGTGTAGCTCAGTCTTGTTCTTGGTGAACCCTCGGCCTGGTCTCCCATGTAACACACGAGTTGACATCTCAACAATGATCCTTTAGGACTAAAATTTATAATAGGCTTTGGCATTCAGGATGGGATGGGTCACCGCTGTTGAGAATGATGAAAGCCAAGCTGAAGAAAAATGCCCTCTAGCTCAGCAGTTCTCAACCTTGACAATTTTAAGGCATGTGGACTTCAACTCCCAGAATTCCACAGCCAGCAATGCTGGCTGTGGAATTCTGGGAGTTGAAGTCCACATGCCTTAAAATTGTCAAGGTTGAGAAACACTGCTCTAGCTGATCTGCTTCCGACCACCACTGACCAAAATACTGCCCTGACTAACCATGCCTTCCGAATGTTGAAGTTTGGGATTCGCTATTTGAGACAATTAACAATTTGGTTTAGAATATATAGGGCAGTGAATTGATGTAAAGGGTAATAAGTATTCATTCCAGGCAATAACTTTGCTATTTGCAAGAATGGGTGAAGTTAACAAACATCTGAGTTGTCCCATTCTGTGACTAAAGGATGCTCTTACCAAGCCCGAGAGGATGACTTCACCCTGTTTAAATACTGAGAGGTATAATAACCATTGTGACTAGTTCTGTGTTTCAAGAAACTGTTACTTTCCAAATTCTACTCTAATTCATGAAAAACTCAGAATTCTTTGGCCACTTGTTTTCTTTTCCCTTTTATCCTAAAATAATCTGGGAATCACAGTAAACTGTAAAAGGCTTTACCTAGTTGTGTCTGCAACTTTTTCCAGCACTGAACTGCCCTCATCTCTGCCCTTCTTGACACAGATAGCATACCAAATTATCGGGGGACTTTCTGCCTGAGGATAGAATAAAACTCTTGGTCTGGATTCTTTCCAGGCCAAGGGTAGCCTTTTATTTTGAGACTTAATGTGAAAATCTTCAAGAATAAAAAAAAAGAAATCAGACTGCTACAACTTTTTCAGCAAGCCTGCAGGAAATTCCCTCCCAATGGTTCATTGGCATTAGCCCTGAAGCAGTCCATGATATTTGGAATGAGACATTTTCTTGGGGAAAAGAACCAGCCTGAGATGTTGCTTGAGAGCCCCTGAGAAAGTGTCAGCAAAACTGATCCAAAAGGCTTGATCTCTATAGGTTTCCACTGATTGTTGAGATCCTATCTTCACTTGGTGTTAAGGAACTGTGGCTTTCTGATAAGCAGAGAACTTGTAGCTGAGAATTTTCTACTGATTCCACAGTAGATGTTGTATTTCTTTGCAACATTCAAGTCTCAAAATGCAGGGCTCAGTAGGCTAAAGTCCAGTCAAAATAGGGAGGTCCTACCTCAGGAGTAAAGAACCTAAATCTGGAGAGAACTTTCACAGCCTGTTGGGGGGGGGGGGGAGAAGCCTACTGATCTTCAGACAACTCCCTTTTCTGCTATTTTTGTTCTTTTATTGAGCATCATTGTTATCTTGTGCCTTAGCCACGCATTATATTAGTTTAAGGGGACACACTACAAGATATTAAAGCATTTAAAAAAGTATTTAACCTTCACTGTCATTAAATAAAAATGAGTGCAAAAGTTAGACCAAATAACTGAAAAGAACAGGTTTGCTAACACCAATGTTTATCATTCAGAATCCAGAATCAGTGCGAATGCCTTCAAAGACAAGTGTCAATTTAAATTATTAAAATCTACCCAATTCCCTTGGTAAGACCCATCAACATTCTATAACAGTGTTTGTTGAAATGAGGAAGACAACGTGGGAAGATACTACCATAAAAGAGTGATAATCCATGGTTAATGGATTGTTTTAAACTGGTTTTTCCAGGAAGCAAAGCTTCATGCCCTATAAGATTACATAATCTTGAAGAATACAAAGAAAAATTCCATGCTTTTTAGGTTAATTTGATGATATAATTTCCAAGTTATAAACTTTAAAATGTGATGTTATATTGTTCACATACTACTCCCACCCCCATCCCCAACTCAGCAAGAAATCACACCAAAATGAGCGCAAAGGAAGTATTTTGCCTGGATTTAAACTCCTCCATAAGAATAGCCCTAATGTTGTAAGCTTCTGAACTGCCTGCTATTCAAAAGCGAATCTGTGTCAACATTCCCATCACCTCCCTGCTCTTGCAAGGCCATCTTCAGAAATGGAAAGGCTGGGGGGGGGGAACAACTCACTTATTCCAAAGCCAACCCTTGAGCTCGTGCTGAAGGGGACACACAGCTGCCCCATCCTGAGCTTGGCTGCTCTCCCCTTTCAGGCTGGCATTGATAATGAGCTGGCTAATTACTAATAACTTCAAGTGGTTCAAAAAGAAGCTGGGCAGGTATGATTCTAAGCACCATCTTTTAGAGAAGGTATACTGATAATCTTTCAAGCCACTTGATTTGTCTTCTAGAATGTTCCACAGCCAAGGTCAGTTCAGTGGCAACCTTACCAAGAGGCATGGCCGTGTACACAAACCTGTTTCTCAGTACTTCTCAAAGCAATACTTCTTTCAGGGGGAAAAACTG